GATTGAACTGAAACTTTGTAGGAATGATCAGCTCATGGTCCTGACAAAGTGTTGTTATTTTTCGGGTCAATCAGAAATACAATTTGGCTGCCATGGCCGCTATTTTGCTACTAAATTCTAATAGGCCGATCTCACTTAAAATTGGTCTAGGAATGATCAGCTCATGGTCCTGACAAAGTTAAGTTAACATTATACTATTTTTTACTCAAATTGGTACATATTTCAACAAACAAACAAAAATACTGTAGACTCAGGTGACCGTTAAGGCCCATGGGCCTCTTGTTTGTTCTCTTACCGCGTAAGTATTTTTGAACTGGTAAATCATGTATTCTCTGTCCTAATGATAACCACGAAAACTGCACAAGAAAGCATGAACTGTCAGTGAGATTTAAAATGGTAGTGGATTCCTTTTTGTATTTTACAGAGCTACAGGTTATAGTGATGCTCCTTCATACCGTTGTTTTATCAAGTGTTCATTGATTTTATGAAGCATTTGTCCTTTTGACAAGCATTTGTCACTGTCAACATTATAGTTTTATCATGCCTGTTGGATTTCAAAGTTCAAATTGGGTTAAGAAATATGTTACAGGGCTAGTTAGTAGTAGTTACGTGGATTAGCCTGGAGCCTGTTATATCTGAGCTTGGAATATAAGGTCGCACTCACTGAATCACAAAGATTGTCACTGGCAACATAATCTAATAAATCGGGAATCTGTTTGTATCAATGAACACAATGCAGTTGAAAATCCCAGATGGTGAGTCCATATTGATCAACCAGAAATATTTCACACTGAAAAAGTGCAATTTCCCAAATACACTGACAAACAGATTTGAATTTGATGGCAATGCCCAAAGGAAGGGTAATTAATTTGTTTTGTGTCGGTTCGTGACGAGGGTCATTTAACAAAGAATCCCCACGGCTGCCTATTTATGTACATGTTTGAAGAAAAGGTATATAATAAAAGTGATAGATTTTCGGGGTTTTTTTCGCCCTGTTTAGTATATGTTGGGTCAAATGATTTATTACATATTATACTTTCCTCACTTATTTAGGTATACCCTATCTTTACATTAGAAGGAAAAAAGAGTGTATGTAGTCTGAAGAAAATCATTAGAATGAAGATAAATATTTGTATTAATGAAAGGGGTTGGACTTTCTACACCATTACAGGCGGTAATCATAGCTCTGGCAAGTTTTATGACAGATAAAATTCCTCCTGTCACCAATCAGTTTTAAAAAGTCAATCACATGATCATAAAGTTGGTGGTCACATGACCGGCTGACAGGTGCCTGTTTGGGGCCAGGAGAACAGGTGATGGAGGCCTGTACAATAGCCGTCAGCTGGTGACAAGGTAGAAGTATAAGCCTGAGGCAGTCGTCTCCGAGAGAGTAGTACTGATCACTGGTTAATACCTTATCTTACCTGTGGCTTTCTAACTTGTGGGGTTAAGCCACTTCTACACACATCCACCGATTCCCATGTTTGACCACTCTAGCTAGCTAGTGATACCTTTACGAAGTGTTAACACATGCATGCATTGTGCTTTGGATCTTGTACTGTTAAACTGGATGAAAGATTTTGGAATGTGATTTTGGTGGTGTATTTCAAGAATTACATTAAATATTTAAGGAAACATTGTGTAGCTAATCCATTAACAGTGAGGAGAAACCTGGTGTTGACCTAGCCATTAACAGGTGTTTACTTGTGTTAATTGGCTGATCACAGTGTGAGGAGACATGTAGATGATCACTATAGTAGATATTGTCATTACCCACAGCCATTAGCACCATCAAGTTGAAGACATGCAGGTGAAAATTACACCTGTGTCATCGGGTAGCTTGGAACAGGTAACTATACACGTTTATAAATTCTCCGATATCTACAAACTCTGGTTATAGTCCTTTGATACGTTTATAGCAGGAAAGGGAATGATGTGTACCACTGTATTGTATTATATCTGCTATAATACAGGTGTCACAGAACACACCAATGCAGTGGTGGATCCAGAGACCTTTCTGGGGGGGTTTCCAAATTTCCTGGGGGGGTTTCCATGTGGGGAAAAATTGAGGAAAATAATGAAAATACATGAAAATTCTCAGGGTGGGGGGGTTTCCTGAATCCCAAAAAAAACCCTCTGGATCCGCCACTGCAATGTTTAGGATATACATGTGGATCGAGGTCAGATAAACGCTGAAGACTTTCATGACTTCAACAGACTTAGGGTGACATGTTTTAATTCCTTATCATATGTGTACTGTTAGGATATGTGCCAGGTTTTACTCTATGGCTATCTAATGGGTATAATGGTTATCTGTTAGATATAATGGTTAGACATAAGTTGTCACTGTAGTATCAGTATAATGTACAGTAAAAGTGCTGAGATTGTATATAGTTGAACTCATTGACCCCTAAAATTTCATAATGAACTATTCCAACCTTTGTACTGGAAGAGTTCAAATGTAATCTCAGGGGTGAATGAGTTAAAGCTGGTGACACATAGTGAAATCTGACTTTACTATCACAATACGACTTGATTACTTGGTCAGATCATCATAAATCAGGTAAAATGTAGGCTTCACATCTGTCAGTATTCTGTTCATGTAAATATATATCCTGTTAGTAGTCTGTTCCTGTGACAATATATCCTGTTTTTAGTATGTTCCTATGACAATATATCCTGTTAGTAGTCTTTTCCTGTGACAATATATCCTGTTAGTAGTCTGTTCCTGTGAAAATATATCCTGTTAGTAGTCTGTTCCTGTGACATTATATCCTGTTAGTAGTCTGTTCCTATGACAATATATCCTGTAAGTAGTCTGTTCCTGTGACAATATATCCTGTTAGTAGTGTCTGTTCCTGTGACAATGTATCCTGTTAGTAGTATGTTCCTATGACAATTTATCCTGTTTGTAGTATGTCCCTATGACAATATATCCTGTTAGTAGTCTGTTCCTGTTACATTATATCCTGTTAGTAGTCTGTTCCTGTGACAATGTATCCTGGTAGTAGTCTGTTCCTGTGACAATATATCCTGTTTTTAGTATGTTCCTATGACAATATATCCTGTTAGTAGTATGTTCCTATGACAATATATCCTGTTAGAAGTCTGTTCCTGTGACAATATATCCTGTTAGTAGTCTGATCCTGTGACAATATATCCTGTTAGTAGTCTGTTCCTCTGACAATATATCCTGTTAGTAGTCTGTTCCTGTGACAATGTATCCTGTTAGTAGTCTGTTTCTGTGACAATATATCCTGTTAGTAGTCTGTTCCTGGGACAATATATCCTGTTTGTAGTATGTTCCTATGACAATATATCCTGTAAGTAGTCTGTTCCTGTGACAATATATCCTGTTAGTAGTGTGTTCCTGTGACAATGTATCCTGTTAGTAGTATGTTCCTGTGACAATATATCCTGTTAGTAGTCTCTTCCTGTGACAATATATCCTGTTAGTAGTCTGTTCCAGTGACAATGTATCCTGTTAGTAGTATGTTCCTGTGACAATATATCCTGTTAGTAGTATGTTCCTATGACAATATATCCTGTTAGTAGTATGTTCCTATGACAGTATATCCTGTTAGTAGTCTGTTCCTGTGACAATATATCCTGTTTGTAGTATGTTCCTATGACAATATATCCTGTTAGAAGTCTGTTCCTGTGACAATATATCCTGTTAGAAGTCTGTTCCTGTGACAATATATCCTGTTAGTAGTGTCTGTTCCTGTGACAATGTATCCTGTTAGTAGTCTGTTCCTGAGACAAGATATCCTGTTTGTAGTATGTTCCTATGACAATATATCCTGTTGGTAGTCTGTTCCTATGACAATATATCCTGTTAGTAGTCTGTTCCTATGACAATATATCCTGTAAGTAGTCTGTTCCTGTGACAATGTATCCTGTTAGTAGTATGTTCCTATGACAATTTATCCTGTTTGTAGTATGTCCCTATGACAATATATCCTGTTAGTAGTCTGTTCCTGTGACAATATATCCTGTTTGTAGTATGTTCCTATGACAATATATCCTGTAAGTAGTCTTTTCCTGTGACAATATATCCTGTTAGTAGTATGTTCCTGTGACAATATATCCTGTTAGTAGTCTGTTCCTGTGACAATATATCCTGTTAGTAGTCTGTTCCTGTGACAATATATCCTGTTAGTAGTATGTTCCTATGACATTTCATCCTGTTAGAAGTCTATCCCCATGACAATATATCCTGTTAGAAGTCTATCCCCATGACAATAGATCCTGTTAGTACTATGTCCTATGACAATATATCCTGTTAGTAGTAGTCTGTTTCTATGACAATATATCCCATTAGTAGTAATTTTGTTCCTATGACAATTTATCCTGTTAAAAGTCTATCTCCATGACAATATATCCTGTTAGTACTATGTCCTATGACAATTTATCCTGTTAGAAGTCTATCCCCATGACAATATATCCTGTTGGTATATAGGTCTTTGTTTATGTAATAATTTAGGGTAAATATGTTTATGACAAAGCCATAAGACAATTTATGTACATGAAACTATAGGGGACAAATGTTTTAAACATGAACGTGTAATAACAGGAGGTTATGTTACACCCCAACCCTTCATCCACGGTGACATTTCTCTTTGACCTAATGACCCTGTGTGACCTGTTGACCCCAACAGTAGGAGTTCAGGATCATATGACATTGAGAGCCTTACTGAAGAGTCACCGTACATTGCCGAAAACTGTCTTTGAATGGAACATTTTCTAACCGTAAGACAAAAGCTTTTACGAACAACTTTAAAAAAGTAACCAAACCTTGTGAAGCGAGTACAATAAATAATAAGAATAAGTTTTAAAAATCAAAACGTAAGTGTTCTGAAAACTTAACCTTTTCAACCCTATGTAACTTTAGTAGACTCTACCATGCATTGACCTGGATGAGTCCATTATGGTCTACAGTGGTGAAAGGGTTTTAACGAGGCCAGGCCAGGATTCAAACACTGGACCTCTGGTTATGATACAGTCACCTTAACCAACTGGTAACCTGCAGGTCAGCAGCAGTACCGTCACCCAGCTAACATGCTTCAGTTGTATCCGAAAGAAAATCAAGGAGAAGCTCCTGCATTTATGAAGACCTAGAGTGATTCGCCTCCACGTGAAACGGGGCACTTGCGGGAAAACAGGCCAGGATCAAAGAAGTATTTTATGTATTAAATTTTACTACATAATACTTCCATGTCATTCACATGTATATGGGCTTCACTGGTGGTAAATCATGATCTCACTGACAGTTTAAGGTCAGAATTAATTTTTAAAATCTTAATTATTACCTTCTTAATTTGCATGCCCTACGACGCTCTCATTTTCAGAAACTTGTTTTTTCAAACCTAATGTTAGTCTGGAGAAGATATTTGATTAGAACCTTCTTTCAGGAACTTCTTCTTGCAGGGGATGTGGAAAGTGCTATACCTGAGGAAATAGTTTGCTTAGAATAAAAATCTAGGTGTTGGCTTTATCCACAAATAAAAATCTAGGTGTTGGCTTTATCCACAATATGTATTCAGATATCCAAGTAAGATTGTCATCTGTAAAAATCCTTTTAATAGCCATTTTGTCAGCTTACTGTATCAAAGATACCAAACTGACCGCCATTGTTACTGTATCATAGGTAGCCTGGTGTTGACCGTGACCATTGTAACCGTACTGTATCACAGATACACTACTGAAGACCCCTGTTAACCTGCTGTATCATATAGGTACCCTGCAGACCACCCCTGTAAACCTGCTGTATCATATAGGTACCCTGCAGACCACCCCTGTTAACCTGATGTATCCTATAGGTACCCTGCAGACCACCACTGTAAACCTCTAGCTACTTCATGTATCACAGATAACCTGCTGACCACCACTTTAACCCTTATATATCATAGATATTCAACCGACCACTACTGTGACTTTAACCCTAATATATTACAAATACCCTGCCGACAATCACTGTAACTCTAATATCACAAATACCCTGCCGACCACCAGTGTAACCCTAATACATCATAGATACCCTGTCGACCACTACTGTGACTGTAACCCTGATATATCATAGATGCCCCACCAACCACTCCTGTGACTGTAACCCTAATATATCGTAGATACCTCACCAACAACTACTGTGACTGTAACCCTAATATCCCATAGATACCCCGCCAACCACTACTGTGGCTGTAACCCTAATATATCATAAATACCACGCCGACCACTACTGTGACTGTACCCCTAATATATCATAGATCCCCCGCCAACCACTACTGTGACAGTAACCCTAATATATCATAGATGCCCTGTCGACCACTACTGTGACTGTAACTGTTATATATCATAGAGGTGACCACAACTATGACTTTAACCCTAAGATATCATAGATACCCCTCCGACCACTACTGTGACTGTACCCCTAATATATCATAGATACCTCACCAGCCACTACTGTGACTGTAACCCTCATATATCATAGATACCCCGCCCACCACTACTGTGACTGGAACCCTAATATATCATAGATACACCGCCGACCACTACTGTGACTGTACCCCTAATATATCATAGATACCCCACCGACCACTACTGTGTCTGTAACCCTAATATATCATAGTTACCCCACCGACCACTACTGTGACTGTAACTGTGATATATCATAGAGGTGACCACTACTGTGACTGTAACCCTAATATATCATAGATACCCCGCCGACCACTACTGTGACTGTAACCCTAATATATCATAGATACCCCGCCGACCACTACTGTGACTGTAACCCTAATATATCATAGATACCCCGCCAACCACTACTGTGACTGTAACCCTAATATATCA